GATTATGCCACCCAATTAGGGTGTGAAACACTAATAGAGGATTCATCAGTTTGGGTTGCCAGTTCCTTGCCTGTAAGAGAACTATTTTGGAAGCAGAAACAGAATTCCTGGAACCAGCAAGGAAGAAGAGCCACCAGCAGAACATGTGGAAACTCCTGCCTGCAGGGCGGAAGCAGCAGACTGCACGAGAGGTGGAGGCATGGAGACCCATGAGACAGAACAGAGGAGCAGCCATTGTGAGGCAGAGCAGTGGCAGGGCTTCCTGGCCCGTGGAGGCACAAGCCAGGGAAACATGTGACTGAGAGGCTGTGAGGATCAGCAGAGACTTGGCTGCTGTTGGAGGAGAGGTGGTGTTGTGGGCTAATGACCGTATCCCTGCTTTACTGTTTTATGACCCTGGCCTGGTCACGTCCCTGAGAAACTGCTGTGATTGTAGGTCTGTGCGTTGTGTGTGGCCATTGCAGGGGGTCTTGACCCCAGCAGACAGGCGGAGTGCGCTGGAGGAACAGTTGGTGTTAGAATCAGGTGAAGAAGAATGGCGGGTGGGGCATGCCTAACTATGGCAGCTGGCCTTGGGCTGGTGAGGAGGTGGATCTTCAGTGGAGCCAGAGGAGGTCACACGTGGCCTCCACGCCATTTACTCACTTGGACATGGATTGCTGCAAGATTTTTAAACACTCTTCAGGCCCCTCCTACTTCATTCAGCTTATACGCTATTCGTCTACAAATGATATGTAGTCTTATTGAAAATATGATTGTGCAGTTCTTCCATGTGAGAACTTAGGAAAGGTTCCCCTTTTTCAGTTAATTAGTAAAATCCAAAACCCTGCCTTGCTTTCAAGCTTAGCGCTATTTCTCCTGTCTTTTTTTCTCCAGTTGCCCCAATATTCTGCCTACTTTCTCACCCAACCGATGTGTTTTACTCTCCTACAATTATGTGCACTTCCCTGTCTTGTTTCCCGTCCGTAGGGCTCCACCTCTATCCAGCTAACCAAACCCTGCCCCGGCTCTGTTCTCTGCGCTGTGGCACAGCGAGCCCCTCATGGAGAGCAGGGCGCTCGGTTGATCTGAATTCTTCCTTCGTAGCCCCTGCTGTGGGAGTGCAGGCTCTCAGATCAGCCTCACTGATTTCTGCACGCGCACTGCTCTCTCCTCTTCCCCACACCCAGCACAGTGTGAGGCGTATTAGTAGTTTAGCAAGTATATGCGGGGGCTTCACAGAGTTCATGGAAACATGGAATGAAAAGAGAACAGATTGTGCTCACGAACTTTTGGGAGTCCCTTCGTATTATTTATGCTCTTGTCTCTAACGTTGTGCTTAAAGATTTTTAC